CCCGGCATGAGCAGTGGCTAGGCTCCTCTAGGCCTACGAAGCTGACAGAGCTGTAACTGGAGGTCAGGGGATAAGCAGTGAGAAGCTGGTTTTGCTCCTCTCCTCTTTTCTATCTGGGCTTCACTGGCCAAGCTTGCTCATTCACAGCATATACTCTCCCAAGACTGAAGCGACTCCCGGGTCAGAGCAGAGCAGTGGCCAGGTGATCCACACTGCTGCTCAACACCAAGCATCTTGATATTAGCGACACAGCAGAAGGCTGTTTTTCCTACTTTTTATCATTTTTCTTTCATTTTATTTTTAGTTTATGTTCATGGGAATTATGCCTAACTGTATGTCTTTGTATCACATACATGCAATGCCAGTGCCCAGAGGCCAGAAGAGGTGTCAGATCCTCTGGAACCAGAACTACAGGTGGTTCTGAGCTGCCAAGTGGGTGCTGGGAATAGAACTCAGGTCCTCTGGGAGAGGAGTCAGGGCTCTTACCTGCAGAGTCATCTCTCCAGCCCCCCTTTTTTATTCGTTCAAATCTGGTTTTGTGTGTGTGTGAGAGAAAGAGAGAGAGAGACCGAGAGAGAGAGAAAGAGAGGGAGAGAGAGAGAATATACATATGAATGCAGATTCCCACAGAGGCCAGAAGACATTGGATCCCATGGAGCCTAGTCGGAGTTATAGCCAGTTGTGAGTCACCTAATGTGGGTGCTGGGAGCTAAACTCTGGTACTCTGAAAAAGCAGTGTATGCTCTCAACCGCTAAGCCACCTTCCAGTCCTGGCTTTTCTTACTTTAAAGCCATCTCTCATATTCAGAACAAATCCCTGAATCCAAGTATCAGGCATATACAATATGATATCAGTCTCACCGGATTGCTTCAAAAGATAGGATGTCATGTTTACACACCGCCAGGGCCTCCTGCTTTAGAAAGAATAATGCCAGCATTCTCATGTCTCTACAAACCAAGGGAACACAGTGACACTCTTTTCCTGTTAGGGGTGGTGTTAGTTCATACTGAAATGTAACTGTCACTGTAATACTACTGAAGAGGTGCCATGGAGCAAGGACCAGTAGTATTAAGAATTGTCATGAGATATTGTGATGAGAAGGTGGGACACCAGATGTTAGCACTTTGTAGCAAACTTTTTACCCTTATTGTTATCTCATTATCATCACCCAGCCTGTGCAAAGACCAAGAAGCAGTCTAATGAAAGGAGCAGCAAGGCTAAGGCTGCAGGTTTCCACCACGTGAAACAGTGGGCAGTGGGCAGAAGTGATGGACTTAGGATGAGTCAGCCAGGCTAAAGTGGAAGAAGAAAGGTAATGACGACTACAGCTGGGGCAAGGCCAGCTGCTGACACGTTCACTATGACTAATGCCTGACAAGGCAAGGAAAAGAGCATGGGGCTGAGGGTCAAGGACCTTGGCTGAAACCACAGCTCCACTGTGTGACTGGAGGTGCCTCAACCCCTGAAATGCAACATCTTCAGCAACAGAGGGAGGCAACATCATTTTAGTTTGTTTATTTGGATTGTGTGAGATTTGTAGTTTATTCTGTTGTTATTTGTGGATTTCTAAAGACAGTCCATTCAAAAGTACCTCAGAAAGCTGAAATAATGGTTCAGTGATTAAAAGTACTAGCTGCTCTTCCAAAGACCTGGGTTCAATTCCCAGTACTCACATTATGGCTCCATCTATAACTACAGTTTGGGGGATCTGACCCCTCTTCTGGTCCTTGGGCACTGCATGCACATGGTGCACAGATAAACATGCTGGCAAAACACACACACATACACAAACACACACACACACACACACATATAAAACAATGAAAATAAAATTGAAAAGAACCCTAAAAAGTTCTTATTCAGTGAGAGAACACGTTTTCCTCCTACATTAGTGTTCCAGGATACCACCCAAGAGTTCCCAAGTCCCAAGAGTCGAGCTCCTGAGTTTAAAGTGAACTGTTGAAATAAACTCAGTTTCTGGGCCCAGGAACCAAACAAATGTAGGCTTGAATTCCAATAAAATCCAGAAGCCTAATTGATGTGGGATTCTCCTCTGTATGCTATGAATATCTTTTATTACCATTGGTTATTAAAGAAAGATATTAAAGAATAAATACATGGAGCTGCATTCCAGGCTCATGAACTGGGAGGTTGATTACTAAAACGTGTGTGTGTATGTGTGTTTGTGTGTGAAAGAGAGAAAAAAATACAATGTTCCCCAATTTACTGATGAATTCAACAATCTTATCAAAATTCCAGAAGACTATTATTTGAAAATAGAAAAAAAGAAATGATCCTAAAACTCACATGGTAATGAAGGAAACCAAAACCACCAAAACAGCATGAAAAAAAGAGAAAGCTAGAGAACTTATATTCCTACTTCACCAAAACATTGGCATAAGGACAAACAGTAAAGTCAAGGAAGAACAAAAGTATAGGCATAAACCAGGTTCAAATGATTCTTCACACGGCTACCAAGACCACTCAAAAAAAGAAAAAACTTCAGCAACTTGTGCTGGGAGAAACTAGATGTCAAACATGCAAAGAGAGGGTGGACTTACTTCATGTTACATCCAAAAAGCAACTGAAACCTGATCAATGACAAGGCCAGCTGGCCTGGGTCTGAAAAAGCCTGGGTTAAAACCGGTCTCGCTGAACATAGCGGACAATGAGGACTACTGAGACCTCAAGAACAATGGCAATGGGTTTTTGATCCTACTGCACCTATTGGTTTTGTGGGAGCCTAGGCAGTTTGGATGCTCACCTTACTAGACCTGGATGGAGGTGGGTGGTCCTTGGACTTCCCACAGGGCAGGGAACCCTGATTGTTCTTTGGGCTGACGAGGGAGGGGGACTTGATTGGGGGAGGGGGAGGGAAAGGGGAGGCGGCGGTAGGGAAGAGACAGAAATCTTAAATAAATAAATAAATAAATAAATAAATAAATAAATAAATAAATAGATAAATAAATATTAAAAAAATAAATAAATGACTGTGTAAAAAAAAAGAGACAAAATATAAAATTCCAAAAGGAAAACAAGGGGTAAATACTTATGGCCTTGGATACAGCCAAGTTTGTTAGATATGACAACAGCACAAAAGAAAAATACAAAGACTGGGCTTTAAAAATAAAAATTGGCCAGGCAGTGATGGCACACACCTTTAATCCCAGTACTCAGGAGGCAAAGGCAGGTGGCTCTCTGTGAGTTCGAGGTCAGCCTGGTCTATAGAGTGAGCTCCAGGACAGTCAGGACTGTACCACAGAGAAATCCTGTCTTGAAAGAGAGAGAAAGGGAAGGAGGGAGGAAGGGAGGGAGGGGAGGAGGGAGGGAGGGAGGGAGGGAGGGAGGGAGGGAGGGAGGGAGAGAGAGAGAGAGAGAGAGAGAGAATATATAGAAAGTATCTGGAGAGATGACTTTGCAATTAAGAACATGTATTAAGAACTTGGATCCTCTTCTAGGACCCAAGTTCAGTTCCCGGCACCTACATCAGGGTACTCATAACCACCTGTAACTCCAGCTCTGGAGGATCTGATGCCCTCTTCTGGCCTCTCTGAGCACCGCACTCAGATGCACAAACCCATACACAGATATAAATATCTAAAAATAAAAAATTCTAAAACACTAAATTAAAAGGAAGTTACCAAAAACTCAGATAACTAATAGAATATTTACAGAGTGTGTATCTGCTCAGTATCCAAGATATTTAAAGAACAAAAGACAACCTAATTTTTAAAAGGCCAAAGAGTACAAACAGACATCTCCCCATGACTAGCAGATGCATAAAAAGATGCTCACACCACCAGTCATTAGAAAACCCAAATCAAAAATCACTGTAAGAAGCCATTACACACTGGACTGGTGCTATCCAGAGTAATCAGGAAATGTTATCGGGGGTAGAAGAATGTTAACTGCTGAGTTACCCTGGAAGTAGTCTCACAGTTCCTGAAATAGTTAAACATAGAATCACCATTACCCAGGAATCCTGCTCTAAGGTGACTGACCAAAATCCAAATGACATACATACATCACAAAATTATATGACACCTCATAATATGTACACTATATTTTTACGTATTGATTTAAGCATATTAAGAGACTCAAATTCTTTAGAAGAATAAACAGTTTCTTATACACAAATGCTTCATAGAAGCACTGATATTCATAATATCCAAAAGGTGAAAGTGACCCAAATATCTGTGAAAGGGTAACAGGCAAACAGCGTGTGTTCTGTCTGTATGCTGGAATCTATGTACAGGAAGGGTAACAGGTAAACAGAGTGTGCTCTATCTGTATGCTGGAACCCATGCACAGGGTTTCCTTTCAGAGTGATAAATACTGCAAAACTAGATAGGGATGATGGGAATACAGTCAGCACTGGGCAAGTACTAAATGCCATTTTATAATAGTTGATGGCTATTTATTTATTTATATTAACTATAATAAAAGATACAAAAATAGGATCATGACCTAAAAAACATAAAATTTTAGATAATTTGATTTTCTATTTAAAAACTACTTCAGGTTTTTAAATACATTCAAGGAGATTTCACCTTGGCTTTTTTTTCTTTGTAAGTTATCATGCTGGTTAGTTTTATGCCAACTTGACATAAAGAAGAATCATTTGGGAAGACAGAACTTGAGAAAATTCCCCCATCAGACTGGTCTGTGGTGCGTTTTCTTGATTGATGACTGGTGTGGGAGGGCCCAGCTCGCTGTGGGTGGTACCATGCCTGGGCAGGTGGTCCTAGGTGCTGTATGAGAAAGCAGGCTGAGAAGTCATGGAGAGCAAGCCAGCTCACTGTGGCCTCTGCATCAGCGCCTGCCTTGAGTTCCTATCCTGACTTCTCTGGGACGAAGTGTGACCTTTGACCTGAGAGTTGTAAGAGGAAATAAATCTTTTCCTCCTCAAGTTGCTTTTGCTCATGGTGTTTATCACAGCGATTCAGACAGTTATCTTCTCAAAATATTAACCATGTACTCATAGTAGATTGTTTCTTACCAGCAGCCTCCTTCTCGTTCTGTTTTTCATAAAGGGTGCCCACAGACATCAGGAAGACAATAACCAGGAATACTGGGATTCTCCATGAGCCAGCCAGTGATGCTGAAAATCATTAAGAATTAGCATTCTTAGTTAACAGAGCATTTTGATATTCATGCTAATTAAGAAACCATTTCACGGGGAAAATGCTTTGTAAAGGACACTTGCAGGTAAACCCCAACTCAAGGACAGTTCCTTTCTTTCTCTTAAACATCAAGGCAGGTGCCAGCCTACTCTTAAGAGTCAATCCCCGGGCTGGAGAGATGGCTCAGTGGTTAAGAGCATTGTCTGCTCTTCCAAAGGTCCTGAGTTCAATTCCCGGCAACCACATGGTGGCTCACAACCATCTGTAATAAGGTTTGGTGCCCATTTCTGGCCTGCAGACATACACACAGACAGAACACTGTATATATAATAAATAAATAAATATTTAAAAAAAAAGAGTCAATCCCCAACCCATTACAGACACCCACACACCCCTCACAGGTTTCAGGTCACCCCAAAATCAAGTTCAACCTATGGAGCACCTGATACTAGAACAAACAGAGTCAGGCACTGATCCTGAAGCCGGGGAGCCAGCCTAATTTTCTGAAAATGGCACTAGATTTGAACTCAGTCTCAAGAAAGGGCCCAACAAACCCAAAGGCTACAGCCAAAGCTCCCACAGTATACAGTTAATCCCCAAGCACCTGCCTTCTCTGAGTTCACATGGGACTCCCTCCTCTGCCTTCTGCAAACTCACCCTGAGTTACATCCTGCAGATAAACCTAATGGTGCCAACTCAACAATTCTATAGAGTACTGCCCTCCTAAAATCAGAGCCTCAGCAGTCAGCTGGGCTTAGCTGTTGCTTTCTTGGGGGGAAGGAGGAGCAACTTACAAAGAAGGTTCATTCTAAAAGGTACTTTGAGCTACCTGCTTCTCTAGGTTGCTCAATTAATTTGTTTTTAAATTATAAAGAACTCAGGCTTAGAAATATGTCTTGCCCAATTCTGTACATCATGCTGAAAAGCCATTCAAGAGCAGCAGCACCAATACCACCACTATCGCCAGCGCCACCCAGCTAAGAGTGAGCTGCTCCTCAGGACAGGAAACCCATGACTCTGAGCAGGCCTGACATGGAACTGTCTTTCTGATGCTTCCTGAAGTTCTGGCATCTCCCCTTCATGATCAGGGCCTGCTTAAGTCACTCTTTCTTTCACAGGATGGACATTCCTTCGACTCTTAGGAAGTGGTTTTCCTATTTCATGCAGTCTTCTTGCCCAATGTCCTCCCCCATTCCTGTCCCAGGTCCTTTCTCTTAGCCAGACTAAAAATCTCCAGTCCTTCAACAAGACTCTTATCATCCTTGGGGGGCTTATCTATCTCCTCCTCAAGTCTGCCACAAGCAGAATGAGCTAGAAGGTCACTATGGCTGCAGTTTGAGGCACACTCACCCTTCAAGGACTTACTAAAAGAATGCATAAGGAACTTAAAGATCAACAAAGAATCTTCACTGAAGATTAGAGAACACTCAAAGCTCAACATTTTCTATAGACTATGTTAAAGAATTTTTAAATGCAACATAAAACACTACACAGAACTCACTTTCACTGGTCAGCCTCTGCTGACCTTAAACTACAGTTACAGGACGACTGTTCACAGAGAAGAATCAGAAAGGACCCACCTATATGAAAAAGAAGAATTAGAAAGGACCCACCTATATGAAAAAGCAGTACCATCCAGACAGGAATCGAAACTGCTCTCAAGTAGCGTTCAGTGTTCGCATTCCACTTGAATGAAACCATCAGCACATAGCCAACCACCAACGTCCAGATCTTAAATAAATGAAGTAAGACACAGGTATAAAATACATACAGCAAAAGGCACGTGTCCTACAACATCTGCAGAGTCTAAGCACGCTGAACACCACACAGACTGGGGCTGTGTGTGGTATGCCTGGGCCTCCCTCTCTATTTAGATATGTTTAGACAGGCATTTAAAACTCAGGCAGTGATACTTAAATAATTAATAAAGTACATTGTTTTAAGACATACATGCTAAAGTTCAAAATCCACTTAACATTTTTTTTAAAGATTTATTTATTTATTATGTATACAACATTCTGCCTCCATGTATGCCCGCACACCAGAGGAGGGTGCCGAACCTCATTACAGATGGTTGTCAGCCACCATGTGGTTGCTGGGAATTGAACTCAGGACCTCTGGAAGAGCAGCCAGTGCTCTTAACCACTGAGCCATCTCTCCAGCCCTCCACTTAACATTTTTAAAAAGATATAATAGTTAATATGTAAGCAGATTTAAATTAAAACTAGTCTTGTAGAATTCCTACAAGTTTTTGTTGATTAATGGCTGGGGAAAGTAAAAAAAAAAAAAAACAGGTAAAAAGACCCATTTTAACCTATAAAAAGTTAGTATGAGAGTCATTTTTAAAACTGAAAGAATTAGATGAAGTATGAGCCTGCTGATAATCCAAGTGACAGATATTTCAACCCTAACCTAGAATTATATACTCCAGTTAAAAAGGGTATCAGAAAAAATATTATAAGAAGAAACAGTAAAAGTTTAAAACAAAACTAGTCAGGTCCCCTCCTCCATTCCTCTACCCTACAGCTGAATACCATCACTAAATCTGCATCACAGCTGCCAATCTGTAAAGTAACAGTGTTCAAGCGAACACTTGCAAAGAGCAATCTGAGCACCAAGAACAAGAGTTTGTGAAAGTAAAATTCAAGTATGGCTTGAACCAGGGGAGAGGGGGTTTTAAAGTAAAAACCCAGTTTTTAAAACATGCAGAGACTTGGACATGAATTTGGACCTGGAACTAATCCTTACAAAGTAACGACAGAATCTGAAAAAGCTTGACATAAATTCCTCAGAACTGAGACGTGATGGCCTAAAAGACATGGAGAAATGATTAACCACGGGTGATTCACAAATACAGCTTGTTCAACAGGGTATGGCGGGACTGTGGGTGTGGTGCATATACGCAGCACCTGTGAGGGTCAGGGATCTTTCCTGTACAGCGGGCTCTCCCAGTGACTGCTCACAGACGGGACAATCAGTGCCCGCTCTCCTCTGACTGCCTTGGTGGAGCTACAGGAATGCACTGGCGCGCCCCTCTTCTTACATGGGTGCCAGGGATCCCAACTCAGGTCCTCAAGCTTGCATACTTTTCCAGCTGAGTCATTCCCCAGACTTAAATGAGTACTGTTTTCAAAAAAAAGGTCTCACAGTTTTACATTTCCAATACAGTATTAAGTTAAAAATGAGACAGAAAACATATATAATAAACTACAACATGGTAAGGGAAGAAATGTGCTAGGCAGCTGATGGTTAATGAACAGAAGACATTTTTCCTTTTCTTTCTTGTTCTTGTTTTTTTCTTTTTGACACAGGGTCTCACATAGCCTGGAACTTGCTATGAGGCAGAGGATGACCTTGAACTCCTGATCCTCCTGCCTCTTCCTGCCATATGCTGAAATTCTGGGGAGAGGGAGGGTTGCCGTTTGCCACGCTGGGATTTGAAATGAGGCCCTCACACATTCTTGATGAGTGTTCCACCAGAGAAAGGACTTGTCTACAGTCTGAAGTTGAATTAGAAGTCGCACACACACGCACACACGCACGCATGCATGCGCGAGCCTATATAGGTTTTGTGGACAACAGGTGTGCAGGAGCCCTTGGAGATCAGAAGGGGTTTCAAATCCCCCGAAGCTGGAGTTACAGGTGATTGTGAGCTAAGTACTGAGAAGAGTACCTTCTCTGGAAGAGCAGTAAACATTCCCAACTGCTGAGCCTTCTCTCTAATCTAAAATTGGTTTGTTTGGTTTCATCTCCCCCCCCTCAAGTTTTATTTTGTGAGTATGGGTATTTGGCCTCTATGTATGTCTGTGTACCATATGCATGCCTGGTGCCCTTCCCCGGGGACTGGAGTTAGAGACAGCTATGAGCTGTCATGTGGGTGGTCAAACCCAGGTCCTCTGGGAGTGCAGCCAATGTCCTTAGCTGCCGAGCCATCCCTAGCAATCTGCTTTTGTAAGCACAGGGTAAGAAGTGGTGCTAGAAAATGAAAGCATACAGAGAGTGACCCTTAGGAAGGGACAGACGCCAGCCCCACTGCACACAGCGGCCATCAGTCCACGGCAAACCTAGAACCCAGCTTCTAAAGCTGCGGGCTGTGATCCAGAAATGACCGTGAGAAATCTGTTGACAGCACAGGCTCTGAACACGCAACCATGGAAACGTAATCCAAAATCTGATCCAGACAAGCCTGAGGTATTGCCTTCAGTAAGTCATGTGACCTCACTAAGCCAAAGTGCACACTTGCGCTCACTACCCTCCCACAAAGCTTCTTTTAGCTAGGGAAAAAGAGCAACTTTTTAAGTATTTTCTAGCCATCATTCCACAGCATATAGCTATCGGACCATTCTATCTGTGGAGTGCACTGTTAGGACTTTTATTTTTAAAACTTAGAGTTGTTGACCAATTTCTAAAAACAAGATAAATAAATAAATTTGGGTGATTTGGGCTTGAGTCTATGCCAGACTGTCCAGCAGTTTTTGAAACAGTCCTGAAAAACAGCCTTGGCATTTGCACTGTGTACTTAAGCCAAGCGACACTCAGCACTGCTCATAAAATCGGAATATCAACTCTTAAAAACACCGAAGATGCTGTGCCTGAAGTTAAACATCTGACCAAGATTTAAATCTCTACGTAAAAAATAAAATAAACACACTCATCTCATTAGTACAAAAATTTGATTTTATCTTTAATAAATGACTAAGGTATATATACAGCAAAGAACTGTCTTAAGATATATTTATGGGGTTAGAGAGTTGGCTCAGTGGTTAAGAGCACTGACTGCTATTGCAGAGGACTTCGGTTCAATCCCAGTGCCCACATGGTAACACAGAACCATCTGTAACTCCGGTCCGAGGGGATCTGACATCCTCTTCTGCCTCCACAGGCACTACACACATGCTGTGCACAGATATAGGACACGCAGGCAAAACATCCATACATCTAAAATAAAATTTAAATATACTTAGAATTTATTAACACTAAATGATTGATTATAAACCTATAAACTACAAGAGCTAAGGTCACATAAAATTTTCTCAGGAAAAAGGGCTCATGAGTGGAAAAGTTTACAAAGCTCTGAGAAAGTCCTAATCAAACCCACAGCTTACACAAACCTGGGAATAGCAGGACAGAGACCTGCCAACCTACGGGGCCTAACATAACCCACAGCTAGGACAATGTGTTAATTTAAGGAAGATTTCATTTAATGAAAAGAAATGCAAAGCTGTGTTTTCAGGTCCAAAATCCCAATGTACAAAACAGGGAGGGGGGAGAGAGCACCTAAATTCAGCAGTCAATTTATAAATTCTGCTTATAAAAATGTAACTCAGCACCAACATGAGCTTTAATACAGGCTAAGACAGCAAAAGAAAACTATAATATGATACAGCCGTAGCTAGATGGGTGAACTCTCTGTAATATGATACAGACGTAGCTAGATGGGTGAACTCTCTGGCTACAAAGTAGAAAATATCAACATTTGATAGCTCTTCTCAGATAATGGCTGTCTTAGTTGAAGTTTCTATTGCTTCGATAGAACACCATGACTAAAAGCAGTTTGGGGACGAAAGGGTTTATGGCTTACACTTCCCTATCACAGTTCATCGCCGAAAGAAATTGGGACAGGACCTCCAGGCAGGAACTGAAGCAGAAGCCATGAAGAAGTACTTCATGCTCAGTTTGCTTTCTTATATACCCCGGAACCACCTGCCCAGGGTGGCTATACTCACGGTAGGCTGCGCCCTCCACATCATCAATGAAATGTCTACAGCCTTTGTCTAGAGGCAATCTGATGGAAGCATTTTCTCAGTTCAGGTTAATCATCCCAGCTAACTCTAGCCTGTCAAGGTGATTAACAAAAAAATCAGGACAGAGGAGGAACAGTCATCTGGGAACAGGCAAGCAGCTTCATCGTCTGCGGTCCCGGTGCAGAAACAATTGTGGAAATGATGAAGCAACATATTTCTGTTTGATATAAGAATAAAAATTTCCAGCAACCAATAGCTGTCTAAAAACAGAGCAAGCTCCTATCTCGAATGGCATTTGAACATGAGGAGTTAGAAACAGCTGCCCTCGGCAAGCAGAACTACAAAGGGTCTACATCTCCAGATTAAGTCTAAGAAGCTGTGTCTGTACTAACAAGGAATCTGTGTCACTAAGAAAAAGAAACTGCACATTTCAGATTTTCTAAGAGAAATTTCAACCTAAAGAAAAGCATGCTATTTCTATCCAGTAAACATGAAGCTCCCAGATTACATTACTTTAGGCTAAAACACTTAATTCCCCAATCCACTTCCAGGACTGTTCTACAGAAACACTAGTGCGCAGATAAATACAAAATATTCAGGCGCCGTTTGCAATACAGCTCCAAAAAAGGAAACGCATTCAGAACTTAAAAAGTGTGATGACTATATTCAGGAGCAGGGTGTAAAGTTATGCATGTGAAGGATAATGGTGAGAATATACTCAGCAACAATTAAAAAATTAAAATAACCGTCTTCAGGCAGCTGGATCTCAGGGTGGTGCTTCTTTATGCTCGCTGTCTTTGCTGAATTTTCCTAAGGGTTATTTAATATTTTCATAAGTAGAAAAAGAAATGCTATTCCTTTAAGATGTGCTTCCTTGGGCCTTCTATGGTTATACAGACATTTTCAAGCTTTTCTTCAGAGAGACAGAAATACTGCTAGCTCAAAAAACAGAACACACTTGAGTTTTTGATAACATAATTACCAATG